AAAAACTGCCTTTGGACACTCAGACTGTTTTCATGGTTGCTCCCTCTGAGTTCTTATTCAGAAACACCTATTTCTAGGTATTGGACTCTGAGGAGTGTCTGGTGTAAAGGCTTCTGGGGGTCTTTGTATTCTTACATTTGGGAAGCAGTTGACAGGGTGGAGTTGCTCTGTGAGGATGCAGCCTCCAGTGGATGCCCAGCTGAAGGACTGACCAGGACCTTATGTGAAGCAGTTCTCTGAGGACAGATGGCAGGGTCTTCTAGCCTCTACCCAGTGCTGACCAGAAAACAGCCCAGGCTCAATCCCTGGTACTTTTCAAAGATGGGCAGGTGCCTCTGGTACAGCTCTTCTCTCTTACAGCTGTGACCCTGGAGACACATCCTGCTCGTTCCCAGGAGCTAAAAGACATACCTCTTTTATAAGAAAATAAGTACTTGATGTGATTCTATTATTTCAGAATCAAAAAACAATGAGATTTTTTGCTTCATAGTTTATTTTATTTTTTCCTCTGCCAAAAGTAACACACACTTTGAAGGAGGACAGAGCTATGGAAGTAGCAGGGCTTTGGAGACAGTTGGAATCCCAGTTCTACTGTGTGATGTGCTATATGTTGTTGGCAAAGGAAACGACCTCTTGGATCCTCTTTTGAATTTGTGCAATGGTTAGTGAGAGCTCCGACAGAGATAATGTATGTAGAAGGCCAGTGAGTACCTCTGAAACAACCAGCCATCTCCGTCACATCCTCCTTCCCTCTGCAGGGAAAGAATTACAGTTGGGTTCAAGAATTAAAAAACAAAGTTAGTCTTCACAATTAAGCAATCACCTTTTTCAAAGAATATGCCAGAGTGCTGCCCTCCAAAAGGCCAGGTAGCTTGGGTGAGAAATAATTATAATAGCTAGCCCTGTGATTTTTGTACATTGTTTCATTTAATTACTATCCTCAGCAACCTCTGAGGTGAGGGTTATTACCCATGGTTACAACCAGGAAACCAGACTCTGAGATGGAGTGTCTTGTGCAGCAAATGCATTTGGAGCTCAATCTGACATCAGCTTTCAACAGCTGACCATCTGACCACACATCAGACCCTATGAACATGGTGTGTACCCAATCACTACTACAATCTTCTCTGCCCATGTTAAAAATGACTGAACACATAGCCTAGTCTTCATTGGTCTCTTTGATGGAAGAAACAGAAACTCACAAAGGCACACAGATACTTAAGGTCACACAGCTGGTGGCCACAGAAATGAACCTAAAACCCTTCTTGAAAACCTGGACTTAGTCTCAGTTGTATAAATCAAAATTAATTTTAGGCTGTATTAAAGAATTTTAAAAATTGGGGACTTCCAGCCAAGATGGAGGTGTAGATAGACAAACTGTGCCTCCTTGCACAACCAAAACAAGAACAACAAATTTAAAAACAAAAAACAACCAGAAGTGACAGAAAGTTGAACTGTATGAAAGTCCAACAACCAAGTAGTTAAAGAAGAAACATTCTCCAGACCGGTAGGAGGAGCAGAGACTGGCAGCTGGGCGGAGAGGACCCAGTGAGACAAGGTGGAGGCTGAAAGACCAGGACAGGCAGTGGCTTGCAGAATGAGTGGTCCCACGTTTGTGTGCAGATAAACTGGGAGGAACAACTAGGGAGTGAGACAGACCACACAACCCAGAGTTCCAGTACCGGGAAATGAAGCCTCAAACCTCTGACTAAAAACACCTGTGGGGGGTAAGGCTGCAGGAGAAACTGCCAGCCTCATGGGAGAGTTCATTGGAGAGACCTACAGGGCCCCAGAATGTACACAAACCCACCCACTCAGGAATCACCACCAGAAGGGCCCAATTTGATTATGGGTAGTGGGAGAAGTGACTGAAAATGGACATAGAGCAGAGCAAACGGCACTGTTCCCTCTCAGACCCCTCCCCCACATACAGCATCACAACTCAGGTACATGGGTTGCCCTCCCTGGTGAACACTTAAGGCTATGCCCCTTACTACATAACAGGCTTGCAGAGACAAAAAAAAAATGACCCAAATGAAAGAACAATTCAAAGCTCTAGAAAAAATACAACTAAGTGATGAAGAGATAGCCAACCTATCAGATGCACAGTTCAAAACACTGATTATCAGAATGCTCCAGGAACACTGGGTACTTGAACAGCATAAAAAAGACCCAAGCAGCGACAAAGGTTGCATTTTGTGAAATAAAGAAAAATCTATAGGGAACCAACAGTGTTGGGAAGGAAACCAGGACTCAAATCAACAGTCTGGAGGAGAAGAAAGAAGGAAACATTCAATCAGAATGGAATGAAGAAACAAGAACTCAAAAAAATGAGGAGAGACTTAGGAACCTTCAGGACATATTTAAATATTCCAATGTCCGAATCATAGGGGTACCAGAAGGATAAGAGGAAGAGCAAGAAATTGAAAACTTATTTGAACAAATAATCAAGAAGAACTTCTCAATCTGGCAAAGGAAATAGACTTTTAGGAAGCCCAGGAAGCTCAGAGAGTGCCAAAGAAGTTGGACCCAAGGAAGTACACACGAAGGCACATCATAATTACATTACCCAAGATTAAAGATAAGGAGAGAATCTTAAAAGCAGCAAAAGAAAATGAGACAGTTACCTACAAAGGAGTTCCCATAAGACTTTCAGCTGATTTCTCAAAAGAAACCTTGTAGGCAAGAAGGTGCTGGAAAGAAATATTTGAAGTCTTGAAAGGCAAGGACCTACATAGGAGTTCATCATCACCCATCCATTATTATATGAAATGTTAAAGAGACTTATCTAAGAAAAAGAAGATATGAACAGTAAAATGACAACAAACACAGCTATTAACAGCCTAACTTAGGAAAAACAAAACACAACAAAAGAAAACAAAAGCTAAGCAAAACAACTAGAACAGGAAGAGAACCACAGAAACGGAGATCACATGGAGGGTTATCAGCTGAACAGTGGGAGGGGGAGAATGGGAAAAATGATACGGAGAATAAGTAGCATAAATGGTAGGTAGAAAATAGACAGGGGAAGGTTAAGAATAGTATAGGAAGTGTAGAAGCCAAAGAACTTATATGTATGACCCTTGAACATGAACTAAAGGGGGGGGGATGCAGGTGGGAGGGAGTATGCAGGGAGAAGGGGAATAAGGGGAGGGGAATGGGACAACTATAATATCATAATCAATAAAATATATTTTTAAAAAGAATTTTAAAAATTATTTATTTGATCAAGAAGAGCTGCAGCCTGGGAGACACAGATTAAGGTAGCAGCCTAAATTGTCTTCCATGAGGCAAAAGGGAGGTGGCTTTTTATAGTGAAGGTTCCTGCCCAGTTAGATTTTTTTTTTATGTAAATGAGGTATCCAAATTCTTATACTTCTAATTGGTCTGAATTCCTCAGTTCTGATTGATCAGTATTATTCATCCTGATTGGTCATTATGGACCAGCTCTAATTGTGTTGGTCAAGTCTTGGTTCACTGGTGGAAAGACAAAACCAGAAACTCCACTATAGACTCAGATAACATAAATAAACAGGGCATATTGCAGGAAGCAGAGAGTTCAAGGCTGAGTATCTTCTGCTATACAGATTGAGTGAGAAGCCCCACTCAGCAAATGGCTGCTAGGCTCTTACTATTTATAAAATTTTGGACTATATCTCAAAAGATAAGTTTCTTTTTAGAGTTCACGTCAAATCAATTTTTCTTCTCATGGTCTGCTGTTAGTTTCACCAGGGAAGTCATGGCACCTCCATAATCTCTGGGCTTCTAGCACTTGCCTCTCTAAATGGCTTATTTTTCTTTATAGCAGTGGTCACTACCTGACTTATTATTTCTTTGTAGTCTGTCCCACACTAGAAGGTCAGCTTCCAAGCAGGGAGATCTGGGCTGATTCACTGTCAGTACTCACCATCCACTAATGGATAGGCATCAGTGACAAAGATGAACATATTTCTAAAGTCCATAAGTCTAACCATCTGTAATTATTGAGGAGTAATGAGTAGGGGTCACTATTTCCAGCTATAGGACTTTCATAGAGAAGTGTAAATCTGGTGATGAAAAACATCATGGAGGTTGTTTGGAGGTAGAGTGTTAGCCATCCCTTCACATCGCCCTTCTTAGTTAACCACTTACACCATATGTGATGGACTGAGTCTGAATTCTGTGATGTGATTTAGTAATGATTGTCATGGTGGAAATTTCAGGGACGAAAGACAAACCATTCTGGAGAAATATCTCAGCGCCAGTGGCTTTTAGTGCTTCACAATCAGACTGTCGTGTCATTTTCTTTGCACTATTTTTATTTTCTGAAAATGAGTTTCCATTAGCAACTTGCCTGCATATAAAAATCAGAAAATCTGATTTGGGGGAATAGTAGATGGCTGCACCACATTAAATATCAATTGCAGAATATCAGTTATGATGAAATTCAATGGAATCAATGCAATTAGCAAGATCTGCATATGTAAATTTTTAACTACTCTGTTTTGTATGAAGAGTAGTTCAAATCATTGTTAAACTCAAATCATTGTTTTGTATGTAGTTCAAACATACAAAATCCTTGGCAAAAAAAAATCCTTGGCAAAAAAAAAAAATCTCCCAACTAGCCTAATACTATAAATAAGACCAAGGGATTTAATCTGGACTTTCTTTGAAATTTCCTTTGCTCAATTTAGGCATTGAGAGATGGCCCGTGTGTGTGCGAGTTTATACACCCACCCTCTCTTAGGCGCCTGAACGTGGGGGAAGAAATTGTGAAACAGGAATTCTATATTGGTCTTTTTATTCATATTACTACTTATTTTTCTCAATCTATTCTTTTCTTAGTGTTTCCTTCCAAATCACAGCGTCCCCAATTGTTTCGGTTTCCTCAACCCTGGGGATGAGAAACCGCTGAAAACAGACTTCTCCTCCTTATGAATATGCAAAAATAAGGGGCGGGGCGGAAGCCGGATGGTGGGGGCGGGGGCGGGGCAACCCGGCAAGAAACTCAACTTGAGAGGTCCTGAAGAGGACTCAAGACTGCAGTTCCTACACCTCACCGCGCCCTGCCGAGAGCAACAAACAATAGCCCAGCCCGGGTCTGGAAAGCCCAACTCTCCCCTGAGGATGAGCGGGTGGAGTTATTCAACGTCAGGGAAATGTGGCATCTGAATAGCCCTTCAGAGCCAATCCAAATTCTGACCAGGAAGGTAACTGTCGGACGGGTTCACCATCTCTGGACTAAGTGGCCTGAAGGTCCCCGCCTTTTGTGGTGAAAATGTGCAGGGCGCGGGGCCCTCGGGGTGGCGCTCGCTGGGACGAAGTTCCCAGCTGCTTCCCCCGGACTTCCTTTCCACTTGGAGTTCGTCGCTGGATGAGTAGAGCTCTCCAAAGACCCCCTTGCTAGTTAGGAAGAATAATGGAAAAGGTGAGTGCTTTTTCTGTGCCAGTTGTGACTTTTGGAGCTGGGACCACCAAGCAGCTGGTGACTGAAATTCTGTGTGCGTGGGACTTTTTTTTTTTTTTTTAGAAATAAGGGTAGGGGGAGGCGAGGATCAGTGACTCTGGGTAAAAGATGGTGTAGAGAAGTAGGGTGGAGGTCTGAAAAGTTTCGGCAGCCCAGCAGGTGCAGAGGGGGTGCGCGCCTGATTGCTTACACAAAGGATGTGCGCTGTTGCTGCCCGGGCCACAGCCCGGTTGCCGTAGCAGCGGGGAGGCTGGAGCAGCTGCGTGCCCGGGTTGCCAGGAGATGGAGGAGTGTAGGGGAGCAGAACGCGGAATATTTGGCAGTCTCCCAAGAAGCGCTGATAAGTATGCGTCTTTTGACATTTGCCCCTTGACTCAAGTCTGTTGGCAGCCACTTGTCTTTTGGTTAGGGAATCAGGCTTCTAGGCTGCTACCTATTTAATGCCATAATACTCTACTTTTGAAAATATTTGGATCGTGGTCTGATGAAAGACATGAAAACGAAGATATTCTTTTCTAAAGTAAAATATAATAAAAACAGTATTCCGTTTACTCGTTTTCAGTGTAGCATCTGCTGATGGGTATTCCTTAATTATTATTATTAAAAATAAAATACAAAAACAAGTTTTTAATCCATGAAAACAAATTGGCTTTCAGCCTCTCCACCATATTAAGCAAAATATTTGGAAAAGAAAAGCACATACGGCGGGTAGCAGGCACAGTATTAAGAACCCAGACAGGTGCATCTTAAAATGTTTTAGAAAGATAGGTTTTCACAAAGCATGGGAGAGAATCAACCTCCATTTAATTTCACTCTGTATTTTCTTACAAGTAAATGTGCCAAGTAATTTTGGCTTATTTATTTCGAAGACTGCTTTAGCCATACACTAAAGAGAACAAAAATTGGCAAGGATTTTGAATTATCTTTATCAGAGCAGTTGTTGGCAGCTACAGTAGTACTTCCCCTCCCCCATTCCATTTTCCTTTTATCTTACTATTGCTAAAGATATATTTTGGTGTTTTCTTTGTTTCTCCAGATTTTAATTGTTTGCCAAGGACAGTGATCTGTTGTTACCAGTTATTAAGAAGTATTCCACACAGTAGTTTATTTTTTCTTCTGCTTCCATTTAAAAATGATCTGTGTGTTCTTTTTTTTTATAAAGATTTTATTTATTTATCTTTAGAGGGGAAGGGAAGGAGAGAGGGAGAGAAACATCAATGTATGGTTGCCTTTCATGCATCCCCTGCTGGGAACTGGCCTGCAGAGAACCGGCCTGCAACCCAGGTATGTGCCCTGACTGGGAATCGAACTGCATTGTCTGGTTCGCAGGCCCACGCTCAATCCACTGAGCTACACCAGCCAGGGCTTTATGTGTTCTTTACTTATTCATGAATTCATTCATCAAACATTTATTGAGGCTTTACAGTGCCAGATTCAGCAGAAAAGGGATAAGTGGTGAGAGGGACATACCAAGTTGAATTAGAAAAATTCAGTTTGTGGAGGAGAAAAGGCTAAGGAATAGTTATAATTCACTGTGGTACTTTTATTTAGAAATTCCACCAGAGCACACTGCACTAATGGCCAGGAGAAGTATGATAATTGCAGATGAGCTTTTTGCTTCATCTGTGTCATTGCCTTTGCCCTTTCAAGGCAGATATTATTGTACTCATTTAAAATACGAGGAAGATGACAGAAAAGTAATTTGCCCCTTGTCTTACAGTAAGCAAGTGGCAAAATCAGGATCTAAATCCAAATGTGACTGCTATGACATCCTGCTTCTGAATATTAAACCCTTTTATCCCTATGTTCTTGCTAACCAAATTACCATATTTTCATCATTCTTAATATGTGTGAATTCTAAAAAAAATCATGTGGTTTTTCTCTTTGGTTGAGATGTTTCTAAAGCCAGATATCAATTACATTTCTGAAGAATGTATGGGGTTGGCCAAAAAAGTCCATTTAATAAAACACATTTTTCATTTTCACCAATAACTTTATTGATTTGGATATTTTGATTATGTTGACTATCTCCCACATAGTATAACATTGACTGTTCTCAATTAATCTCTCCATTTGATCACTATCAACTTCAATTGGTCTACATGAATGTGGAGCATCATCTACAGTCTCTAACATGAAACTTCGCAAACTACTTTTGACACATTGGATCAGTCACAGCACCTTCTCCATACATTGCACAAATCTTTTTTTTGTATTTCAGTTGTGTTTTTACCTTTCTTGAAAGAATAAAGCAGCCCTGGCTGCTGTAGCTTAGTGGATTGAGCACGGGCCTGCAAACCAGACAATCACGGTTCGATTCCCAGTCAGGGCACATGCCTGGGTTGCAGGCCGGTTCCCTGCAGGCCAGTTCCCTGCAGGCCAGTTCCTAGCAGGGGATGCACAAAAGGCAACCATACATTGATGTTTCTCTCCCTCTCTCCTTCCTTTTCCCTCTAAAGATAAATAAATAAAATCTTTAAAAAAAGAGTAAAGCATAATATGCCCAAAATATTGCTTATTTTCTTCCATTTTCAGTATTTAAATTTCTATGCAAAAATTCTCCACTTCTTTTAAGTTTTCTTTATAGTGCCTGCTCATATGACAGCTGTCACAGTACAATCTAACAAAATTGTTTTGAATGATTTTAAAGACAGCTAAGCACTACAAGCACCTTCTTACGGAACCAAGAAAACTTTTTGGCCAACCCAGTACTTTATTTCATGCTCACCAATGCGGGCCAGTTTCATACCTTATCAAGTTTTGATAGGGCAGACTAAACTGATAACAACTCCATTTCCAGTAGGTATGGCCAGTCTCTCTGCTACTTTTAAACTGCAGAGTGATTTGAGTCATATCCACTGCCTATATAGCATAATAAATCCTATAGAAATGAAATCACAACACTGAAAGGACAGTGAAGCATGGACCTTACAACCTTCAGAGCTGAAAGGGAAGCTTGGCAACCTTCCCTGTTGATGGCATTTTCCATGCTTATTTCTAACAAGACATGTTCAGCATAGTATTTCAGACCATGAAAGGTAGCCAGAGAATTTGAAGGTTTCCTCTGAGGCCTTGAACAAACAAGATTATCATTGGGATGTATCAAAAAGATTAAATTATTAAAATGCTGTGGTCATAGGCTAACAGGAAGCCTGCAAATCTTGAGGCTGGTGCATTGCTCTTGGCTTAGTTCACAGGGCCTGCTTTGTAAAGGTAGGAATCAATGCTATTTCAGGATAGACAAGGAAGGTTCCAGAGTCTTTTGCAATAAAAGTTTCAGTATTTGCCAATAGTCAGAATCTCAGAGTTCTGTTGTTGGTCTCCTTGACATCCTGCATATTCTGCCTTCAGAAAAGGTAGACCATAGTTTTCCACTCTTCTTCATGTAATACCTTGCCAATTTCTAAGAGTTTTAAAAGGCCCTTTTTGTAAGTTGAATCAGAACTCTGCCCATTGTTTTAGGAATCTGATTTTAGGACAGTCCCATAATAGCTCCCCCTCCCCACCCTGAATTGTGGAGGGTTATTTATGTCTTCATTGTCCTTCCCTAGGTTCCCCCTTGAGGACCATCCTATTTACTTCTAAGTGTGACGTTCTGGACTATATTCTGAAATATCCATACTGAAAGATGTACATCCAATATCCTTGATGGACCTTTTCAGGGAATACCAAAAGCTTTCAAAATGTGCTCTTTGGACAGGAGCCAGCAGCTTTCCACAATGAGTGGTTTCAGAAACAGGTTCTTATGAGGAATAGATATTGTCATCCTAGCCAAAAAAAAAGCAAAAAAGAACAGCCTATTTCTCAAAACAGCACATACTTAATTAGTAAAGGGATCAATGCCAGCACCTGGAATTTGAAAACTCAGCTTTGGAAGGCAGTGCAAGTCCCTGAAGGGCAAAACTTATATTTCTCCTTCTGATTTGAGCCAGACATTTGTCTAAGTGGTCAGCTGTGCAAGCTGGAATGGCACAATGCCAGCAGGTGTGTTGATCTGTTCAGTAGCAGCTTCCACAACACCTTTTAATTAGGAGATTGCCTCAAAAGCACTCCCCTCAAAGTAGGAGAAAAGAACCAAACACAAATATATAAAGAGTGAAAAACACTACTGTTCATGGCTGTTTATGACTTGCCCAGATTTTGGCACAATGAAATACACTTTATTCCCATTTGAAGAAGGTCATGACATTGAAGAGGCTTAGAAGCTCCCAAGCAGTCTTAAGTGTTTATTAGTCACTGTCTATTCAGTACTGACAGCATGAGGGGATATGTCACGCGCTTTCTCCTCAAGCACCCAACACTCTAGTTCAGAGTAAGCAGACATGAAAATACTGAAGCACAATTAAAGGCTCTGCTGTGTATGCACTCCACAAGCCACCAGGGACAACTGTTAGATATGGGTTCAGTGGCCAAAGGACTACATCTTCCTTCCTCCCTGTAGCTTCCCAGATGCATATATCCTTCAAGTTCTCATCACTCCAACTTCCTAAAATTCCCTGCTTTTCAGAGTCTTACTTCAATCCACTGAGATGCTCCAGAAATCCTAAAACTAGGGTGAATCTGGCCATGAGAATTTAAGCCTTCAAACTCCTAGAGGAACTCCATTAGGATTTGAAGAAAATAAAAGGGACTGGGCTGGAGGAGCAGAAGAGAGCCATTTTATTCTTCCTCACTGCTGATGGAAGTATAACTCTTTGGAAAGCAATAAAAATACTGCTTGAGCATTCATTTTAAGGGCAGAAGGATATTTAGGTCACATTAGAATTTGAGACTGCATTGAGGGTAAGAGTAGGGCAGAGAGAAGAACACTGATCCGAAGTACTAGATGGTGACGGAAGATAGAGCAAAAGGAAGTGATCTTTATCCTGATGGAAAATAAACATGGTGACTAGGAAGCCATCTTAGGGTATATAACAGATGTGTTCACTGGGGTTATAAAGTTTCACCTTTAGAAACTCAAG